AACTGGGAACCCGCTGGGGTCCCAGCATTGCCCAGTTGCCCACAGTCTCCAGTGCTAACTCCTGTGGGAGCTCTTGGGGCCCTTGCCAGCTCTTGTGGGGTATCTGTCCTTCCCCAGCGGGGCATGGGAACCACACGTTATGGATGTGCCCGCATCTGCACCATGCTGTGCACCCACCGGTCCCCTGCACCGTGGGCACAGCATCTGTGCATACCTGTCCAATGAACCCTGGCTGGGCAACGTCTTCCCCTCACCTGCAGGACCGCTTCACCTTATTTTGTGACTTTTTGGAGTGTTGTGCATGGCCCCACATGATAAAGTGTGCACCGCCTTTCCTCTTACACCAGCACTGCTAATCCCACTTCCACTCCCGTCTTGCACGTGAGTTTCCAGCGTGGTGGTGTAGGCATGTGGGTTCTTGCCTCTATCCCTGGCCCCCACCCCCTCTATGCAGGAAACAAGTGCCAGACAACTGTGGGAAGGCCTCTCCCCAGATGTGTAACCCCTGGAGCATGGCTCTGCGGCGTGTGGCTCCTAGGGCACCTCTTGGGCTCTGTAAGGGTGAACCAGGCATGGCTTTTCCCACCACGCTCCTGCTGCCAGAGACTGATGGGTGAAATAAGAAGAGTGGGTCAAGGGGGGACTTTGGGCACAAAGATGCACCATCTGCTCGTCACCCCTGCTAGCCTTGCCAAGGATGTTGCCATGGGGGACCCTTCTCTCCACTGAGAAGGTGCATGGCCCCATTTCAATGTGTGATTATCAGAGCAGAGAAGCAGCTGAGGGGGTTGAGCTCTGGCAGGTGTAGCAGTGATGGCTGTGAAATTGCATAATGTCTGTTGGTGCATTTGTCCCTCCAGCTGCCCTGGGCCATGCAATTCTGTCCTTGGCTTTGTTTTTATGACTTTTGCTCTCACAAGTAAAATGGTCTCAAACCTGCCAGAATCAGATTCAGGCCACTGTGATTTTTCCTGGCATGTGACCAAGGTTTTTGGGGCACGCTGTGCTGCTTTCTGCTGAGGAAGAGCCAGGACAGGCGGCGGGCATAGATTAGCTGGATGGGGCTGCCACAGATGCTCCAAGAGCTGATCCAAGGGGACTGGACTCCGGGACAAGTTCTGAGTAGCAGCAGCTCTGAATGAGTTATGGAAGGAAACGCCAGGGAGTTTGAGCTCTGTCCGGAAAGGCTAATGGACATCCTGTTGCGGAGCACCAATAACCTCGTCACCTGCCTGCTCTTGCCTCTCAGTCTTCATTTTTATCTCATTAGAGGGGAAATGGGTTATAGTTTTTCCCATGTTACGTCCTTGACAAGTTCTGCTTGGGTGGAAATGGTTATGAATGAAGCAAGCAGGGTTATTTTTCTCCTTAAATCCTGCTTTCTATCCATGGCAGCTGCCTGCGCTTCCCCCGTTCCTGTAAAAACACCCATGGGTTTCTCTGGGAGTGTCTGTGTCCCTTCTCCTTGCCAAGAGAGATGGAGCTGAGAGATGTGCCCTCCGCTGCCTTCAAACACAGGTCAAATGGGTGTTGGGCATCATTTGCTTCCCTAAGCTTTGGGGTGACTTCTGCTTTCTCTTTTCCCTCCTATTCCTTAGATGTGGCTATGGTAGGACAGTCAAGCCATATGCTGCAGGGAGGCAGACTGGGCTTCTCTTCAGCACTGTTCAGAAATGTCAAACAAATTAGATAAAACTGCATTTGGGTGTTAAACGTTTTTGTGACAGTTCAGCCAATGCTCTTGCTTTAAGAGTTCTTCTGGTGATGGTGGGGGATTTGCTGTGACATTTGACTTCTGTGCCTCCAGGGATCACAAGCCCCAGCTGTAGTCGGTGGCACCCCACAGCCACAGAAAATACCTTGCTGAGGCTGGATGCCTTGTTATTTCCAGCTGCATTCACAATCCATCTATTCTGCTGCTGCTGCTTACATCCAAAATGCCACTTAGTGCTCTACAGCCCTAAATACTGGCCACTGCTTGAAGCGGGAGCACTGGCTCCTCAGCCGGCATGTGTTGGCAGGCTCCACCTGGGTGACACCAATGCAGTTTGCCGTGGTTGGAGACCTCTTCCCACCCCTCCGTCATCTTTCCATTGCAGATGAAAGGGTGAGGCGCTGCGTCTGACAGTGCTGTGGAGGGAAGGTATGGCCTGGGGCCAGCCTGTCCCTTTCACTTATGGGACTGGAGCCACGGTGAGACGGAGGGTGTCCTTACAGGGGCCACAGAGCACCTGCTTGAGCCTGGTGAGATCAGACATGGAGGCAGGCAAGTGCTTTCTGGAATGCTGAAGTCTGCCTTGGTCAGGGGAATAGCTGCAGTTTGTGTCAGTCCCAGGGCAGGTTGATAGTGGTTGTAAGCTGTGCCCCAAAGAAAGCGTATGAAGGAAAGTTTAAATTTAGAGGGCCCAGTTTGCTCCAGATGTGAGAGGCCCATGTACACAAGTCCCATCCTAGTATACTCCTGTTGCAGTCACTCCTGATGTCCAGGGAGAAGAGCTAAGCCTCAGACTTTTAGGGATGACTCTAAGAGCATAAAAAGCAGCAGTACAGCCTGGACATTTTTCCCCTCTCCCTAAACATGAAGCTTTTATGTTGTGCTTCACAGAAAAAAGAAGATAAATCTTTCCAGCATGACATTGACAGTCTGAAGACTTGGCTTCTTCAGTGGTCTCTTCCTCTTTAACACCTCCCCAGAGCAGCTGTCCATCCCCTGGTCCCTCCTGACAGCAGCCAGCATCTCTTGGGTACCACTTCCTTGCAGTATCTGACATTGACTCCCATCTGTTCTGGTATGCCTTTCACTGGTTGCTCCCTGTTCAGCTGAGCAAGTCTACCTCCACCCTGCCAAGCACCCAGCACCCTGGCTCAAGGAGGGGCTTCCACACAGCATGAGAGCCTTTGCGCTGCATTCCTAGTTTATCTGTAAGCAGCTGCACACCCTGAGACTGCCTGTTAAAGCAGCCACCTCTGCGGTGTCACGCTGAGGAGCAAGGTGCCAGTGACGGCTCCTGCCAGTATTTGCTCTGTGAAGAATCCAGAAGGCAAAAATGCCTTTTGTCATGGTTTCAGCCCAGCCAGCAACAAAGCACCAGGCAGCCATTCACTCGCTCCTCCCGCCGTGGTGGGATGGGGAGGAGAAAATCTAATGAAAAGCTCGTGGGTTGAGACAAGGACAGGGAGGGATCACTCACCACTTATGGTCACAGGCAAAAGACAGGCTCAACTTGGGGAAGAAACAAAATCAATTTAATTTACTACCAATCAAATCAAAGGATATTAGGAAGTAAAACCAAACCTGAGAACAGCTTCCCCTCAGCCCTCCCGCCTTACCGCCTCAACTCCACTCCCGGTTCTCTCCACCCCCTCCCCACCAGCAGCACAGGGGAACGGGGAATGGCCTTGGGGTCCGCTCATCCCACCTTGGCTCTGCTGCTCTTTCCTCCTCAGGGGTAGGACTCCTCACTCTTCCCCTGCTCCAGCGTGGGGTCCCTCCCATGGGAGAGAGTTCTTCACGAACTGCTCCAGCGTGGGTCCTTCCCACGGGCTGCAGTCCTTCAGGCACAGACTGCTCCAGCACGGGCTTTCCCACGGAGTCCTGGCCATTTTGGGCAGCCTCCGCTACCCCGCTCCCCTCCACGGGCTGGGGGGGACAGCCTGCCGCCTCACCGTGGCGGGGGCATCCCCTCCTCCGGCACACCTCCTCCCCTCCTCCTTCCCTGACCTCAGTATCCGCAGAGGGGTTCCTCTCACGTCCCACTCCCCCAACTCACCACAGGTTCACCTTCTTGATTAGGTTCTCCCAGAGGCGCTACCGCCGTCACTGAGGGGCTCGGCCTGGGCCAGCGGTGGGTCCGGCTCTGAGCCGGGGGAGCTTCGAGCAGCTTCTCATAAGGAGCCAACACTGCAGTCCCTCCCCTGCTACCAAACCCCCGCCACACAACACCAAAACATCTTTTTTCAGGGAAACGGTGCCCCAGGGCAGCGATGGCTGCAGGGGTGAGGTAGGGCACGTCTCCATGGTGTTTGCCAGACGGTGACCCTTTGGGTATACCGATCGGTGGTGCAGCATGCAGCAGCTGGAATCCAGCGAGACCCCTGCACTGCTTTTTCCTTCCCCTCTCCACACCTTGGAAAAAAATTAAAGCTTGCATGAGGTCCAGCCCACCTTCCCCCTCCTTCCCTCTTCCCTGCAAGTTCCATGGTTCAGCCAACACTGCCACTGGCCAGCACAGGCTGCTTGGGAGAAGTTGGTGATAGCCAGTTCCCAGCAGGCAGGGTTCCTGCCCGCGATTTTGCATTAGCCCGTTTCTCCTGCTGCAGTGCAGGCCTTTTCTGGGAAGGTTCTGTCTTTGCCAGGAGAGGCACAAGTATAGCATGAGAGGAAAAACACTGATTGCTTTGCCTTTGCTCAGCAGCCCAGTATTACGCATTTCCTCATGCTTCTACATGTCTGTGTGGAAATACTCATCTGTGTCTTTCAGAGAGAAACAGTATCCTTTTGGAAGGGGCAAGGAAGAAGTCAGGCTCCCATGTAATAGATGATGTTTTATGAGTGCTGCTGGCCCTCTGTGGTCTTGGGAGGATCCAGGACATGGGCGCTGGTACTGGGAGAAGCTGGGCAGAGCTGATTACTCAGAGGAGAAAGGGTGGGCAGGAGCTGAGCAGATGGTAAAAGGATGGGGAGGAGGACAGCAGGTGACAAGGACTAGCTGCGGGAAAGGGGGGTAATTCCCAGCACTGGGAGGGGAGACTGGTGCTGGTTACCTGGTATGGGAACGCCTCATCTTCCTCTCTAGCAGGCATCGTTCAGAGATGCACTGCTATCAAGTACCACTTTTCCTAGCTGGTATATTTGCATAACATCCGCTTCAACCTGATGAAGATGATCCACCAAGACGAATGGCATTTGTGCCGTAAGTGTTCAGCATGGCCCACTCCTCCCTGGTGAGGCCCGTGGCTCCTGCTCTCCCTTTCACGTGAAAAATGCAACAATGAGACACTAGTTTGCAGAGGAGGGGGCTGAGGAGGCAGGATCCCACCAGGCCCCCAACCATCAGCAATTTCACCCTCATTTTTACTTGCAGGCCAGCATGCTCGGTCCAGGAAAGCGTGAACACCACACACAAGGGTTTTTAAGCTTGTTGAATGTAACCTGCTCTTTGCCACCTTTCACAGGCAGATCACCTCCCCCCTTGCCTCTCCAGGGGTCTGCAGACACCAGCTTGAAAACCTGCATGTCCAGCAGGAGATGTAGCAGAAGCTGACGACAGAAGCCAATGACAGAAGCCCTGTGCTAAACAATTATGGCAGAGCCTGTCTGCATGGAAACTCCCTGGCATTTAGGAACTGGAGCATTTCTATCCCTCCAGGTTACTTTAAATTTAAACTCTAGAAGGAAATAAGAGAACAAAGAGAGTATCACAGTGTGTCTGTATAAAACCATGTTGCACCCACATCCTGAAGGTCATATGGCTGCAGCCATATGATTATATGGTTCATATGATAGTGGGAAGTTTATAGCACATCTACAAAACCACTAGTTTGTAGCAGCCTTGCTACAGTACCACTTTCTACTTAAGAGGTACTCACTGGCAGATCTGGGATTACACCTACTGTGGGTCTGCCTGGCACAGGGCAGCTGCACTCCTGGCTATTTCTAGGTGTCCCTCCACTTCCTCCTGCAGTGGAAGGCTTGTCCACAGTAACCCCCGCTCTTAATTTCTTGGGTTTGGTGCAAACAGACTTGAGAAAGATCACGGCGCGTGGCTGCAGATGTTCTCTGCGAGTGCATCATGGCAGCAGTCAGCTTCTTCTGGGAGGAAAGCCTCACCCAGCGCATTGCAGGTCTGCTGTTCCTGGGGACAGGTAATGAGTCGTTCTAGCATGCTAATTACAGATGAAGGCTTCACCAGTTTTCACTTGGGTAGGCAGCGTGTGCTGCCAGTGAGTGGAGCATGCCTTCCCTTCTGATCTCCAGTTACTGTGCCGTGCTTGAAGCGAGTCGCTTACTCATACAAGTGGAATAACCAATAATTAGAAACAAAAAAACCTGTGAAAAATGCTCTAGGCCTCATGCAGCAGCAGGAAAGGACCACAGGGCTAAAACACCTGCTCCCTCGTCTTTACATATATAGCGATCTCTCTCTTCTCCAGAATGGAATGGTCCCTTGCTGCAGTGGCAGTCCTTGATGGTGGACTAAATATTTCTTTTAACACTGAAGTAGGAAAGAGGAATACTTTAAAAAAAAAGTCTTAGTCATAACATTAGAGGTTGTTTAGAGGGGAAGGAAAGTAAAATCCATGAACATGAATCCAGCATGAGTTTGAACCATCCAAACTCAGGAGGCTAAGCACACCACCTTCTCTTGTGCCAGAGGAAATACTTTGATTTGAGAGGCTGTAACGCTACATTTTTTTTAATACACCTGGAAAGCACAGGCCTGAGGAAAGGCTCATTGTGCATAGCTAATTTAGCTGCTTAATGAAAAACACACACAGCCTAATGAAGAGTGACCCAACAGAAACCCTAGGCTGGGAGAAGTGTGTCGGCAGAGAGCTGGGGAGTGATTTAGCCTGAACGGTTCCCCTGCAGAGCTATGTGGAGGGCCACCTGTGGAGGTAGATTACCTGTTCAATAACCTCCAGATCGGATATACACGCAGCGCATGCAGAACAATTTCCCCTGGCTGCTCTGAGGAGTGCAGCAGGCTCTGCTCCGGCAGAGGGGATTCATCATCACGCCAGCTTGCACAATGTAATTGCGTCCCGTGGGTCAGATCTGATCACAGAGGCTTTGGCTACCTTGCTCTCTTTGAAGGGCAGGCATGACTGAAGTCACCGAGGAGACTCTCTTATTCTTAAAAGTAGCAACCAAGAAGTTTGCTGGATGCAATTCATAACCACAGAGCTATGGCTTAACCTTGCATAACTGGGTAATACAGGAAAACTTTATGAATGCTGGTAATTATTACCTGTGTGCTACCCAAGATAACTTATACCAATAAAGCTGGGTGCAACTTATTTGAGTAGTAAGGCCTAACTTTTATTTTGTTATTCATGCTATGCTACATCTCAAAATAGCAGTATGATTATTTCATTTACAGGAACATTTTGCATTGTATCTCTGTGCACTTATGCAGCCAGCATATCATATGACCTAAACCACCTCCCCACATTCATCTCTAATCTTCCCAGTGATGTAGAATATGGATACAGCTGGTCTGTATTTTGTGCTTGGTGCAGTCTGGGATTTACAGTAGCAGCTGCGTGCCTTTGCACAGCTTACCCGTTTGTTAGCAGGGGCAACATTATGCAGCCTCCGTACAACTGCCCACCTGCCACTAACACCCTTCAGTGATGGCTGAACAGTATTTTTCAGGACTTACTTGAAGAAGCAGAAGTGAAGGGAAAACTCAACTCAGGATTCCAAGCACAAAACGCTGATTCTTCAAAATCTGACCACCACGTTTTACTGGTTCAGCAAGCTGTTCTTCCATGCTGCCCAGCAGAAAGATTTGAAAAGGAGACAGCTCTCAGAGGATGGAGGTGGCTCCGTATCAGATGCTTCAGTTCAGCATGCCAAGTCCATGCGGAGGAAGATATTTGCACTGGAAGGTAAAAGGGAAAGGAAAGTTGCTGTAATAATTTAGGGCTATTTCTATTTTTCAAGGATCTGTACATAAAGAAATTAAGGAAAAAGCACTGTTGCCAAATGAATCCTAGTCAGAATTATACCCCCTTCCCCAGGGCATCATCTAGAATGATTTACTTCAGCACCTTCCACATCTGACCCTAAAGGAAGGCTTTGGTGCCCCTCTCCTTCCAAAATGCCCACACAGACCTTTTTCTTTTAAATCAATGTGTATCTGTGTCTCTTTGTGTATCCTTTGTACATGAAGTTCCCGTGTAATTTGTAAATAACCAGGATTTCCATTCTGAGAACCCGAGCTGCACTGTGAGAAAGATTAAATTACTCCTGCCCATTCCTGGATGCTCTCTTGGTTATGAGGCATTTGTCAAGCTACAGTATCTGTAGTAAAATACCTGCCTCTGTCAAAAACATTTGTGTCAACTGCAATTTCACAGCCTGGAAATGGTATCTCCTGCAAGGCAGAGAAAACTCATAAACCAGGAGGGTCGTAGCCTGGACAGTGCTTGCAGCAAGCTTCCCTACAGGGCAGTGCAGCTTGCTGGAGGTAGAGCCCCAGAAAATCTCTCCTGTTTGGGCCAAGAACCCACCCATAGCAATAGAGGGATGGGGAGATGCAAGAAAAGGAGCGGATTTGTATTTTCCAGTGCTTAATGGCAGGGATACATGAGTTAACAGATGAGAGCGCCGTGCTATCTATCAGACAGCGCTCAAGCTGACAGAGCCCGTCAGTCCCCACAATTAAGAGACTTCAGTGCTATGTTGATGCATCTGTCACAACTCAACCAAAGCTACAATCCTCTGCCGTCACCTAAAAGCCACTGCTGCCCTTGATGCATGGCATCCATACATCCATCGTTGCCAGAGCAGTGTTTCACACCTGCTGGGCACAGGGAAAGAGTTGGACAGGCCCCTGGAAGGTCCCCCAGGCTGCCTTGCAGAGGGCACAGGCTCTGTCAGGAATGGAGCAGACCCTGCTGAGGGAGCAGAGCGATCACAGAAGCCAATTCTGCAGTAAGGGTGGATGGTACAAGATGAACACAAAAGGGAATGGTGGGGGGAAAGGGTCAGATACAGAGTATTGTGAGCTGGGAAGAGAAGAAGGGAGATGTGAGAGAAAGGTTGGTTGAAGGGCAAAGTGATGGGAGAGGAAGGAAAGGAGGGTGAGAGGTAAGGGTGGTGAAACAGAGAAGTATTGCCTTAGCGCAATAACCATCAATTAAATGACAGCAGAAGAAGTCAGTGCCAAAGTAGGCTGAGAAACACAATCATACAAAGTAGACCAAACCCCAACAGATCAATTAATTGATCTGGGAGCAATCAAGATGCCAGGAAGCAATGGCAGGAGAAACCAGCGTCAGCACTAAGCACAGCTTTGGGGCCAACCTTCCCTGCATTTCTCTGCTTGGCTTCACCACGGAGCACAGAGCAGTGTCTCTCAGCAAACAGTTAGGTCCTGTTGGAGTCAGCTCATACCTGTTTACGTGGTTGTCTTGTCATACACAGACCAAGGCAGAAATACTCTCTTCAGATGGTTTATACATCTAATATATCACCAAGAAGATTTAACTTGGTTCTACCTCAGGTGAAGAGCACAAATAGCCATGGGTGACACTAAACTGAGGGGGTGGCTACCCTAAGTGAATGGCAGAACTTCTGCCCAGAGGAGCCTCAGTCAACTTGAGAAGTAGCACCTTGTGGTGTTCAAGGAGGAGATGAGCAGAGCTGTCTGTGTGGGGTGACACAGCCCCGTGCATTCAGACAGGCCAGGAGATTCAAGCTGGGCAGCAGCCCTGCTGAGGAGGGCTTGGGGTTACAGCAGACAATGGGCTGACCATTAGCCAGAAGCATGGTCCCATCACAGATAAGACAAACGGGCTGCACTAGGAGCCACATGGCTAGCAGAGCCAGAAGAACAATTTGTACTCCCTCTGTTCAGGGCTGGCGTTAGGCCCTCCAGTTCAGGAGGGATGTGGGGAAACAGGAGAGGGGCCAGCAGAGGCTGCAAAAAGGGTTAGGGGCCTGGAGCACAGCGCCTGTGAGGGGAGGGAGCTGGGCTTGTCAGGTGAAAAGGAGGGAGGGGGGCATCTACCAGGAGTCTGTGACTGCTTAAAAGGCAGTTAGAGGCATGAAGAGAGCCAAACTCCTGCAGTGTCAGACGATGCAGCAAGAGACAACAGCCACAGATGCAGCTTGGGAGGCTTACACATAAGGAAAGCTTCTCCCCCAGGAGGGTGGTGTCTCCCAAGACACATACCCAGAGAGGCAGGGATCTCCATCCTTGGGGGTTTCTTGCACAGTGCAAGAAAGCTACTGATTCTCAGCAGTAGAGATCTCCCTGTGTTTGTGTATGAAAGCCCCGGCTGACGTGATCTAGCGTTGGCAATAGGCCTGCTCCAGTGGGGAGGCTGGAGGTCACAAGAGGCCCCTTCCCACAGGTGTGACAACTGTATTGAAAAGACACCTCAGCGTTGTATAAAGTTGGGGGGGGTCCACAAGCAGTTCTGAACAACAGCAAGTTTTAGTTTCTTGAAATACAATTAGTCTTAACATTAAAGTCTCTTCCCTCACCCAGACAAAGCACCCTGTCAGAATCAAGAAAAAACAAAAGAAAGCAAAAAAAAAAACAACCTCGCAACCCAAACCCCAAACACACTATTAATCATATCTCCGTACTAATCATAGCAGAGGAACACAATGCACGAGTCCATCCCAGCTTGCCGAGTTGCAAATGCTTGTCCAAAATAGCAACTGAAAGCAATCTGCAGTAATTCTCTATAAAAATACTTCTCTGTCAGCTCAGCAGCCATAGGAAAGCCTTGAATTAGACTATTCCCCCCCCCCCCAAAACCTTTTGCATAGACTAAAAGAACTGCTAAGACCTCTCTCTTTTCACGAGAATTTTCCCATGTGCTTCTCTGCAGGTAGAAGTCACTTTTCATTGTTCATCCACTTGGCAAGTTTTTCCATCTTCTACACTGTGCCCTTGGAGTAACATTACCAAGTGAGGAAAAGCATCATTGTTGATAGAAATAAGTCTCTTCACCCTAAAAAGCTAAAGGATACCCATTAGACACATGCAAATGCTGCAAAGAATTAAAACAGAAAATAGTTTATTTTCCGCTCCAAGTGATCTGAATAGTGACACTTCAAACTCACCAGAAACTAGCTTTAAAGTAATATTGCAAGGCATACATCCAGCCTTCAAAAAGAGCTGGAGACTTCTTCAGACAAGATGTGCCTTCTAAACTGAAGGTGAAAATCCATTTACATTTAATATTACCACATTTGTTTTTGCAGTTCTGCAAATGAAGTCTTTCTCTCCCAAAGAAACTCCTTCCAATACTGAAAGACTTTGCCTAAACAAGGATTTGAGGACTCTTGTCTCATTACAATATTTTACAGTAAAAACATTTGAAATGCCAGTAAGCATTCCACCTCTCCTAAAAACCAAAGAGAGAAAAGCAATGCCTTAGGATGTCCAAAGAAAGTGAGGTGAGCTAACAAATGGCATAGTGTTCATTCAAATCAGTAGGGTTCCACCAGATCACTGCCATGCTGCTTTTCAAGTGTATCAGGATTCAAGTTCACTTAGGCACAGTGTAAGAAAGCTACTAAGTCCCAGCAGTAGAAATCTTCCTGTATTTGTATACGAAAGCATCCCTCTCTCCAGAACTAACTCCATAGATGCCATCTGGCACCAGAGACCCAAAACATGTCTGTCTGCTGCTGAGAAAGGATTCTTCAACACCATTCGCTAAGGGGGAAGAATTCCCATCAATATTCAGGGCTTTTGCAATGGCAGTTTCACTTGTGCCACCAGAAAAGGCATTAGGAGAGTCATTTTCACCACACTTGGTAATGCCATCCATGTGCTTACGGAGATCTTGGTTCAGTAGCAATACAATACTCCCTCCCACACAAAATACTCTGGCAATTGCAGGAAAAATAAAGGTTAGGTGTTCATCCTGCCTAGCATTCTTTCATCTGTGCAGAACTCAACACTGCTGACACTTCAGGTGCCAGTTGCATTTGATAAAACACCTAAGCATGTTAAGGGTCGTAGCTCAACTCAGTAAGCCACATCTCCAAATGGAATTTAAATTCCCTATCATCATAACTCTTCCTAAATTGGAGAACTGGGCCTGACTCCCAAACGTTTCTGACCTCAGGAGCTCTTTCCATTGGGTTAGCAAGGAATATGGACCCATTTTTTTCGCTCTTGGTATTATTCCAAGGATTAAGGGCAGTATCACCTTCAAACCCCATTTTTGGGTTGCATGAGCCTCCCACCAGTCTGCAAAGGAACAGTTTCCCAGGGCAGCAAGAGCTTCTCAGGATGGTGAGGGAATTCTGAAGCTGGCCTTTCCCTTCAGAAACTTTAAAAGGTCTGTCCTTTCCATGTTCCACTGATCCTTAATGCCTTTCAAACTCAGGAAACAGAGGAAAATTAACCATTGTTTGCAATCCATTTTTCTTAGTACATGAGGAAACATTACACTTGGCTTTGAAACAGGGGAAAAAAAAGGCTATCCTGGCTCTGTTCACAGCAGGTGGATTGAACAGTCTTACTGGTGGAGCTCTCATGGTAATGGTCCCTTCCTCTCCTCCACCTTCCCAAGGAAATATTTTGCTTAGGATGGCCCAACAGAGCAAGTAAGACCAGAAGAGAAGCACGACCAAAGGGAGAGATGGTCAGCGTAAGCTGACCTAAGATTGCCCTGCCATTCTGTGAAGCTATCTCACCTTCTTCCGCATCTTCCCACCACATTCCTGCATTGGGTGAGCAAGATCAACACCCACTGAAGACCAATCCTACAGAAAGTGCTTGTTTTCAGCCAGGAAATGAAATAAAGGCGCAGATGGTTTGAACTGCCTGTTAGAAGCAGCCCACTTTTAGCTTGACTCAACTCTGCCACAAAATGACAGGGTGAGAGATAAAAAGGAAGCACGTAAAAGCAGACCACGTGGCTAGCTGGATATGCCAGTATATACTAAAAGAAATGAAAATGCATACCATCATTTTCTGGTCTGAGATTCTACTTGCCAACGCAGGCTGGTAAAAGCTTGGTTGGGAACCCAAAAGGAAAGCCTATGATTTTTATACAAGCAGACCTGAACTGAGAATGGATTATTGCTTTATTTGCCTGGCCATACTTTAAGTTTGTCTAGGTCATCCTCTCCCCTTTCTCCTTTCTGTCACCATTGTGCCTCATAAAGAATATTTGTGAGTGTGCCTCACACAACAGTCTCATTCCTTGTCAGCTTGTGCCGCCATCAGCACTTCCGGAGCTTGCAAGACAAGTCACAACAGCCTTTTTAAGGGACAAGTAAAGGACTCAGACTTTCACAGCCTGCACAGGATCAGATTACACAGCTGGAGAGTGTTTGGAATAAAGCAAACCTGAAGCTGGCTGAACACTTAGGATCGCAAACCATAATGACATTTACACCAAACTCCAAGCATGTCAGAGGCCACACATACCTCTCCATTTCCTGGAGAACATCCAGTAAGAGCTGTATGTCTTTTGTGGTCTAGAACGTCTTCCCAAACAGAATATCTGAAATCACAGTGTCAAAGCTTTCTGAAGGCAATGGCAATGTGGCAGAATAAAGGCAGGTCTTCACGTCTGACTATGTGAAAAATGAAAAGCAGCTATGCCCCCATTCACCTTACAAAACTGCCTGCCAGCTCTTTTATGGATTATGCACCCAGATTCATAGCTCCCTCTGTACTTATCCTCACAAATAGCACTATGAAGCCACCAACCCAATGCAGACTGGGAAGGGACAAATGCATGAGAATGTGGTTTAGCTTGTAGATTCCCCGTTACTGGTGATATGTTCGTTACTGGTCGTATGAGAGTAAGACTATCCTAACAGGGGAGTGCATGGTTCCAAACTAGTTGCTGCTTCTCAACACACAGTACATCTTTACAAGCAAAATGCAAAAGAGCTAAACTTGCAAGCACTTTACTTAGCGCAGATGTTCAGATACGCACATATGAATGGCAAGGAACCACATGTTAAATTTCTCTCCGTGTCCCTTTTCTCCCCCACAAGAATCCAGTTACAGGCAGAATCACTTGGATTCTGTCGGAGCTCGTGTCTTTGCAGTATCTCCCCAGAGCTTCTGCATCCTGGGAATAGTCAGTTCTCTTGACCATGATGCAGCACTGCACCCCTGTGGCGACGAAGGCCGGCCACATACCAGGCTGTGCTGCCCAGAGCATAGCCAGCATGTGAAAGGACGACTATGGGTTCTCCATCTCTCAGGCTGCTCAAAACTTGACTGGACAAGGCCCTGAGCAACCTGACCCAGCTTTGGGTTTCGCCCTGCTCCGAGCAGACTACAGGACCAAAGACCTCCAGCGGTCCCTTCCCACCTAAACCCTGCACTGTGATTCTACACCAGCCTTCCCATAACTAGCTGGAGATGGTTCTTGGACCATCCTTGGATCAACACTTGCAGCACGACAATTTTATCTACAAATGGAAGGACAAGTTACCTACAGTCCTTCTCAAAATATGCAGAAATAACACCTTCTGACCATCAACAAAGACACTAATTACTCATTCAGTATTAGAAAAGCTTGACATCAAACTACCTTCCATTATCCTAGAAGCCAAGGCCAATCACAGCTTTTAAGTCAGAAATAAAGCTATACATATTCATGCCAATAAGAAATAATATTTCTTACCATTCTGGTAAGAAATAAATATTGCAAGGTAAAAAAAAAAATACGCATACTTCACCATCCACGCAGGGCAAAACCACCCAGCTTTTGTCTATCATGAATTTCATATAGGACTAATTTAGACTGAGGCTTTGAGGTCCAGAATAAGGACGTAAAGTTATTACCTTCTCCCCAGATTAGCTCATGAACTGAGAGCAAACAGATTCCCTCTTCCAGGAGAAAGGCATCTTCATTTAAAATATTCCTACTGCAAAACATTGACAATTCAAAACTGAGCTTAATGAGTCACCACTATTACTCATTCAGTACATTTAAGTTACAAGCAACATCTTATCTGGATTTGTCCTTGCTGTGTTCCCGTTAAACACAAAGAACTGTCACATAGTATGTACTCTTTGTGGTATTCACAAGTTTACCATTAAGACAGACAACTACTGCCCACGTCTGACAATTATTATTATTTTCATTGTCTTCTGCTGAGTTTATTCTTGCCAAAGTTCCCGGGGGCGGGGAGGGGAGAACAAGTAGTTATACATACACTGGCACTACAGAGTCACTAGTGAGCTATTTGTTGAGAGTTGGCTCTACTACACATCACCTCAAGAGAACCTACACTACCTGTACAATCCCAGAATGACAGAAACCACTTCAAGTATGTCTCGCTTGGAAACCCTACAGACATATCTTTCACAGAATCTTTAAGTAACTCAATCTTATCCATCAAGTCTGCAGTCCTAGTATTCACATCTAACTGTGAATCACTTATATCAGCACCCCAGCAACAGGCTTCCTGTTCAGAGAAAAAGAGAAAAGTCATTTTGTTGACAAACAGGTGTATTTATTTTATAAACCCTTCTCAGAACTGCCTTGCTGCACAGCTCTTCCGAGACAAACCCCTTGCTGGGAGATCTACTGCCATTACACAGAGCAATACACAGACCCAGAAGACAGAGGAACAGGGAAAGAATGTGCTATTTTCACTCCTTTCATGTTCTAGTATGCTCAAGACGCTTGTACCTTACAGAAATATAGGCTATGTCCTAACAGCAAGACCACAGCTAGCTACAGACAGCCATGCTGCCTCTAATACTGTCAACTGACTGTACTGTCCCATTAACACCTCTGTTCCCAGGATAAGTCCAGGCAGTTTTAGAAGTCCATAGTTGCCTCACACAAACCCCGCAGTATAAATCCAGGCCTCCCAGCACACCTCCCCCCCCCCGCCCCCCCCGCATAAGTATGTAGGACTTTGTTTTACATTCCTGTGGAGGAATATTTGTACTAAAACACTTTTAACAACTGTCTAGAATGACCAGTTTGGTTCCAGCTTTCCAGTAATGGACTTTGGTATAACTGTTGTACAGATTTTTCTTGATGCAACTACAAACCGTCTTGCAAAGGTCCTGCCCATTGCAACTGTGATACTTACGGGCCGCTCTTTGGCAGCTTCCAGCAGTATCGTTCCTAGCCCACACATGAGATCCAGCACAAAGGCACCAGACTACAAAAATAAAGGGGTTATTGCATCCCAAGCAAGACAGACTCCTCTCCCAGGACAAAGCTTACTCGGGGATGTACTGATCACCTACACACGCCCACTGAATCCAGTGTAGGTAACAATAATCACTGGTTTACCAGGCCAAAGTAACTTACCCTGTAAGAGGGTATAGTAAAAAGCATTAATAGTTTCACTAAAGGCAATGCATCAATGCATTCAGCCTTGAGGTGACATTTAGGGAAACAAATTACGACTGGACTGGAGACGGATATTGGTACCAAATTACTCTGTGGAAAACATCACACTTGCTTCTGTTTTCCCTTGGGAGACTGACTCCAAACAAGGTTTGAAGCCTGAACAGTGAAAAAATCTTGCCATTTAGACATATATGTTCATGCAAGGAATAACATCTCTGCTGAGAAGGACCTGGGATTACAGTAGATATCAGGTTGAATGGCAGGTGACAGCACACTCTGATCACAGATAAGGCAAAACCTGTCCACATGCGTTAGAGGATGGGGCATTAAAATCACCACACTTCTACAAAGCTTCCAGCTCCAGCTCTGATGAACAGCAACAACCCCCTTCATTCGGGAGTCTATATGTTTACCATGAACATTCACTTACACTGACTTCAGCCAGAAATGCCATGGCCCAAGCAATTGTTGACGGCAGTCCTGCTGTTTTGCTATACTGTCTGTTTGCCAATGGAAGCCTGGAGACAGCAAAAAATCAATGTAAGATAACAGTACAACTACCCAGAAAAGCCCATGTAATATGAAAGAACAAATGAACTGGACAGATCTGCAGACGGATAGAAACCACAGTCTGCTTTTATCCATAACTCACTGCTAAGTCTGGCCTACGTGCTCAGATAAGCTCCAGACAGACCACAAAACTAATGTGACAGTCCAGTGAATATTAAACCCTAAGATAAATACTCACAGAAGACAGCAAGACTATATAGAAATTATGCCTGTTCTGATACTGCCAAGACAAATCCGGTGAGGAGAATGCCTACCTGAAAAGAGGAATCCCCACCACAGAGTCGATGTCATTAGGATGTACAAAGATCTGAAAGAGGAAAAAATAATATTAGAAACTCTCAACCTGACATGACAGTAGCTTTAACTCATTTAAACGAGACACAGAAGATGTTTCTATGAACTTCTGATCCTAGTTTTTAAGAAAAAAATTGCACACTTTAGACAATTCTGATTAATTGGAAGAAATCACACTAAGTAATCTGAATGCCATTTTAAAGAGGATTTAATATTTAAGCAAGCTAGGAAGGGATTTTATCAGCCAGGAATCTATCAGCAAGCACTTGAATCTTCAAGGGAACCAATTTTTGTAATGTTCAATGGGCATTTTTAATTATAAGACCAATTATACTGACCACGAGAAGATTATTCACTGTCTATTAGCTACTAGCACTCAGCTATTCATGCACATAGGCTGTTTTAAAAAAACCCAACCAACAAACCAACAAAACCCAAGTGCCACTAAGCAGCATTTCAGCTGGAAGGCAGACGTGGGTAACTTTTCCAGAAATATGGGTAGCTCAAAGAAATTGTCCTCCTGTCCCACAGAGAGCATCCCAAAGGAAGACTGAGCTCCTCAACAGGTCTTGCATGCCTGCAATCCCTCCCCAGGAAGCCCAAACAGAAACATGATGCTTTTGCAATATCCCAGTCCTCAGCACTTGAATGGTTTCAGAGCAAAAACCTGGACAAGAACAAGAGCCTCACTTGAGGTTCAACAAAGCCATATTTGATGCACAGCCTGGGAAAACCAGAGTCAGTAGATGAACTCAGAGCTTTTACAGAAGGCCTCAGACCTGCCAGCATCAGTACTGAGAGCAGCTTCCATACACCAAGCACAGGGATGGAGAAACAACTTGTCAAGAGCAATGAGTGCTTTCCAAGGTCTCCAGACAGCTTGCACCATGGAGGGTGCTTTAAGCAAG